TTCTGAAGTTTTGACAAACTGGGATGTCCCAACCGTTTATGTAATAAATCTGGTGAATCAGTAACAGGACAAGTTGTAGAAGGAAGACAAGATGTGAGTCCATGTGATTTAGCAAGGATAAGGTAATAAAGTCCGTTTGATTCACGCCCGGTACCAATGATCCGCCCCGTACTGCGTTCCTGTATAAAAACATGGTCATCAAGAAATAAAACAGCGCATTTAAGTGATTTGGCTAAGCGACTAACAACTATGAGATTAAAAGGACTATTGGGAACATAAAGGACTGAATCTAAAGGTAAGGAAGGAAGTGGGCTTGCTTGACCTATTGCAGTTGCCATGGTTTGAGACCCATTGGCCATTGTGACTTTTGGAAGAGATTGAGAATACGAAATAGTAGTGAAAAGAGATTTGTTACCAGAAATATGATCTGATGCACCTGAATCAATGACCCAAGACTCAGAGGATGAAGATTGGGAGAAACAAGTCACGCTATTACCTGTTTGAACAACAGAAGCTATCTCAGAAGATGTCTGCTTACATGCTTTATACTGAAGGAACTCAATATACTCTGCTAAAGAAACCATCCGACTATTCAAAGCATCGGTTCCCATGTCGCTACAATTTGTAGTAGTAGGGTTAACTTGAAATAGTGGAAATAAGTAACTCCTGTGAGAAAACTGAAGAAATAGCTTGAAAAACACTGTTTACAGCAGGAAAACAGAACACTGTTCTGTGCCGGAAACACTGTTCACGCCGGAAACACTGTAGCTCGCCGGAAAATTCCAAAGTTGTCGGAATTTGTTGTAACCAGGATGGATAGACTCGGAATTCCTTTGCGAGCAAGCTGTCCTGAAGAAATATTTTCAAAAAATGGCCAGAAAGGTCACTGTTCACGCCGGAAAAATATAAAAGTGGCCGGAATTTGATTTGAATTAGATGGGTAGGCTCGGAATTTTGAGGAGAGCACACTGTCCTGAAGAAGCTTCGCGAAAAAATGGCCGGAAAGTGGCCGGAACCCTCGCCGGAAAAGTTGTTGCCGGCGCGTGGAGGAGCATGGCGGCTTTTCTGCCGGATAAAATTTCAGGGGTTGGTAGTCGGAGGGTGATCTACCTTGTGGTGGTGTTGGTTTTAGCACAACACCGACAGAAAGTGACTTTCACTTAGACAAGCCTTAGGTCACCGGAAAAACTATACGATGACTAAGTTCTTTCTTCCCGGTTAACGCTGGAATGACGCACAACGATCTTTTCTCACTAATGCTCTGATACCATGTGAGAAAGCACAGGAGAAAATATAATATTGATATTTGATGATAAATACAATACAAGAGGTCCCTATTTATAGCTATACACTACAAGAAAATATTACTCCTCTTCCAATGTGGGACAAGACTACACTATACATATCTATAAACTAACAAAGACCAAACAAAATGTTCAGGGAATTCCCGGTATAATAGATTGAGCTCCATAGCCTCTGCATTTGTTCTATTCATTTCGAAAAATTGTGTTAACATCGTATGCTTAATCAGCGGATTAGTTACAAGTGTATCTACATTTGCGCTACTTCTGAATGAAACAAATTGTTGTCCTTTAAGATGAAGTTGAAAAGGGCATACAGTCGGAGACATTTCACTAATGGAGAAACCGTACAAGCGCCACATAGCTTCGGGAGGCGATACCCATCTAGTAGACTGATATTCCTTTATTTCATCTACTTCTGCGTTTGTGTCATTATTATGTACCGAAAATGCAATCTTGCCATGTCCTTTACATATATACTTATAAAGATACTTAACGACTTTAATATCAGAGCATATCTCAACATTCAGATGGCAGTCAAATTTGCCGAGCAAAAAAGGATTATATGGAACAACCCATGAGTTATCCAAGTACTGTTCTCTTATTTTTACCACCACCCCTGTATTGCGTCTTCTATAAATTGGGTAAGATTCTATTCCTTTTGATGTCTGGTCCGCAAAGCTTTTTAGATACTTGAATTTACAGTAACCTTTTTTCTTCATACAAGAATTTGTTGGGTTTAGATTACCGCATGGACCATGCATCATGTGTTTAAGAACAAGCGAATATAAATCTGATTCTGCATTTTCATCAGGTATTTCAGCACTAATAATACTATCGTAAGCCTCTGGGGTAAGTAACTTGTATTCATTAGTTAATATTATAAGAAAATGAGCGTGTGGTAAACCTCGCTTTTAGAACACTACAGTATATATAAAAGCTGCTACCTTTCCAAAGATATTTCGCTTAAGTATATCCTTTTTGAATTCTTCTATTTTCGCTCTAATACTCGGCTGATCAAATCAGGCATATTATGTGACTCATCAGTTGAGATTAAATGTTCCATTATTTCCGNTATTTCCATCCAAGAGTGATTACATGTCATAGTTATAAATAAATCAGGTTTACCGAAATGTTGGACGAGCGCAATAGCATCCATGTACCGTTGTCGCATATCCCGGGGCCCTCCAATAAAAGAGCTTGGAAGGAAATTTTGTTTCCCGGTATTAGAAGCATCGCGTTCACCTACTCGCAAGATGTCAAGAAGTCCTTGTAGCATAGCCATCCTAAATAAATCTTGATTGAACACTGCGAAATCTAACCTTTATGTTTTGAGTTTAATGTATTCATCAACTGAATACTGCTGAAATATTCTTCCAGTATGCAATATTTCATCTTCATCATCATTTCTCATTTGTAATTTGTAACAATAATACTCACGAACAGAAACTGTATCTTTTCGTCGCTGTCCTTTTTTAAGAATTTCAGCTCCCATTTCAAGATATCCGTCAAGTGACGTAACATTTCTTATACTTGGTACCTCTTCGTGATGCGTTGTTCTCAAGTACGCAGGACAATTTGCTGGGAGCTTCTTAATTCCACAATGCCATCCACTTTGCCCTAGCGGAAACAATAGCGGATATTGCAATGCATCATAACAGCCATAATAGTAATTCACTATTTGTGTTCGATCAGTGCGAGGGTAAATTTGAATATGTGGTGCATTAAAGGCTGCGCCATCATTTTCCTCTGTCCATATTGCTGCAATTTCAGATGAAGTCGGCAAATTATATACTCTCTGGTCCAAATTTAAATCGCATTTGAGGGCTATGTGGAAATCTTGAAGGTTCGATATATGTATCAAAGATCGTAAAAACACAGAGTATGGTTTATTGATAATATATCCATCAATTCTTTCACTACTGATTCGTGGATTCTATCGGAACATGCCATCTTGTGTGCCAGCTCATTGCAATTATCATAAAAGTATAGCTGAATATTTCTTGGTTTGTCATCTGTAGGGTGCAAATTATTTATCCAGTGGTACATCTTCCTTGAACTCTAAAGGTGTAGATACCAAAGTTTCTTTTTGTTAAATCTTTGTCATACTTTACACCAAGTGATGTGAACGCAAAAAGATTATTATACGTTCTAATGTATGTTCGGAAGTGTTTAGACTCCACATTATTTCCAAGAAATAAATTACGTAGTTTGGTAGGCATTTGGTGAGAAGTTAACTTTATTATCCCACTACCACAGCAAAATGCAGGCGGTTCATATTCAAATCTCTTTACTGAGGAAAATTTGCAGATTGGAACTTTCTTCAGCAGAGCATAGTTTGAACGCATTTGACCGATAATTGGAGCAAACTTTGTAGTTGGTGTACGACCTATATATTGGAAAAAGACCGTTAAAATTAAGGTGAACGAGAGGAAACAATTATTGTTTCGGCAGACAGAAAACCAAACGAACCTCTACGCGTAACTATTTCTGAGTCTTTGTTACGTAGTTCACCGGGTACTGCTGACGTTGAACCTAAGACCAAGTTAGGTGGTCCTTAGATGGCACAAAATGATGGCAAGTAGTATAAAAGTAAGCGTAGAAGGCGGCATACTCACCTTTTTCGTACATAGAAAGTGGATGCAGTACATCTCTTTCATTACCCAAAGCACAAGGCAGAGGATGATCCTTAGACGTATTAAAAGCTACATCGAAGAGAAAGTGTAGAGGAAGTTGACTAATTAAAATGAGAGATAACTCTGCGAGACAAGGTGAAAGCGATATTGTACGGAGAATCGTATCTTCTAACCTGGATGCAGAATGTAAGAAGTGTTCGTAGAGCATTCAGGTGGATCCATTATTCCAGTCAAGCGATCCACAATTATATTCTCAGGAGGTGTACGTATCTTTGACTCTTGGTATTTAAGTCGACGTTGTAGTAACAACTTTTGCTTTTTCTCTGCGGACATCGCTTTGTATTTTTCACGTCGGTTGACATTCCTATCCATTTCTGATAGAGGCCGCTTGTTTTTTTTTTGTATGATCCATCAGAACCGTAGTATCTACTCTTAAATGATACTGCGCAAACTGTCATAGCCTTTTAGGATTGTATTAATTTTTATCACCGAGATGCATATCACACGGCAGGAAGTGACAAAATTGAGGCTATCTTTGAACAGATATAGTTATCCCAAGGAAGACATTATGGGAGGCGATTCATAATGTCATGATATGTTTTCCAAAAAAAAGTACGTTTTGACTATTAGTTTTCGCACAAGTAACATTGGAATGAAGTGAAATACCTCTGGACTTTTTGATCAATTTTTGTACCTATAGGGGGAACAATTAGGATAATTTTTAAGGTTTTTTTCTCCGTAGTATAACATCCGCGCAAAGGTACTTTTCCAAAGGTAAAGCTTCGCTTACTAAGCGGAAAAATCTAACTAAAACATGACCCGAAGTGAAATAAAAGAAAATGGACACCGTGACACGACACCAAAAACTAAAGAGCGAATATGTCAAGCCAAAGTTTTTGTTACACACATAAATCGGTTTACAAACAAAAAATAAACAAAATAATTGTACAAAAGAAAAAGGTGGACAACAGCAGCCATTAGCAGAACGACAGGGATGTCCAAGAATGAACGCATTAATATGACCCAACGTGTACAAATATACGAAAGTAAGATAGTTGGTTACCTTTACAGTGCTGAACTTCTTCTGCAAGTATGTTGGTTGTACTTAACGTAGGAGAAACGTCAACAATTCTACAAAGCCAAAAAACAATTTCAGCCATGGTCAACATGTGAAACATGTTGGGCATCGAAAATACTCTTAGAAATAATTCTCTACGGAAATTGTACCGTCACTGTCTCAAATATAATGGTACAAGGAAGAAAAAAGGCTGTTGGTGTGTGCTACTGGGTTATTCCATTAGTTTATGCCGTGGACTAAATAACTGATCAAAATAACACGCAATTCACCAATTTTCATGGGAGAGCCTTTCATGATTTAAAAAAAAGAGAATTTCTTACAGAGTTTGGTAACAGTCTTTTATCATAGCAAACATTAAAAAACAATTATGGTTCAATTCATCTCCGTAGGGTGAAAGCAAATTGTTTCCCCTTTCTTCCCCTTCTTTGTTTGTGTTCTAATAGATACTAATCGCTAAAAATATCATTCTGGCACATTAACTGACAAAATAAAGAATTTTTCCTAAATTCATTATCTTCAGTTGATGTTATATTCATTCTCTCAAAAACAGAGCTTTCTTCTTACAGTTGGAGAACTCATGATTCACTAATTTACTTTAACAAACACCTACAATGTATCAGTGTGCAAAGGTTGACACGCGTGTGAAAATTCACAACTGAAATATCCGAACAAATAGAGAAGCTGCCGGACACCCACCAAGATTTCAGAGAAATAACATGGTTCAGTTAAAAAAGCAAGAACAGAGTAAAACTGACAAGAACTGAAAAAAAAATTAGTTCAAAAAATTGGTACAACTTCAAGTAGAGTCGTATTGTCGATGCCACTACACTGTGTTGGACCACACAGAAATCTAAAGGAGGAGATAGAGAAGGAAGCAAGAAGTACTCACTTGTTCCAGCCAGCAAGTAGAGAGACCAAAAAGAACAGAGTAGTAAACCGGAAAACCCAAGCGGAATAGAAGCTGTTGCAGATATTTTTGGCGGTCACCCCTAATCGGATATCCATCCAAATGCAGGTGTTACACATCTGGAGAAACAGCTGACAGCAGCAGAAGAAAGAGCCGGTTTGTCTTCCACGTCGATGGAAAAGGGGCGTATCGAAGAGCGTGCGAAGGGAGAAGACGCTGCAGAAAGTACAAAATGAGCAGAGTCACAAAAATAACCCGACTTTTGATCCAAAAAAGGGACCTAATTGTAAATCGGAAGCAGGACGACAAAGAGTCCAACTCCCGCTTCTAAATAAGTAGAAATAGAAATATATAAGAGGAAGGAATGTGGAAGGTTTGATAGCAAATAGGGCAGAGTTTACCCTCAACAAGAGAGTAGAAATGTGGATCCTATTTCTAGGAAGGAAGAGACTATCGAGCATCGAGCAGTAAGAGAATACTAGTACTAGTACTAGTTATGGCTATCCAACGGGACGGGATAGGACAAAATTAACGGGACGGAACGACATTTAACCGATACGGTGGCGGGACGGGACAAACGGGATGAAATGATAGGCTTATCCCGTCCTGCTAATAAACGGGATGGGACAGGACGAGATGGGACGGACGGTAGGCCTATCCCGTCACGCTATCAAACGGGATGGGACGGGTTCGCGGGCCTTAAGTGTCGTTTTAAAAAAAAAATTATTTAAGTATTGAATTTGGCAACGACTATTCTTTTGACAATGACTAAGTTTTTAAAGTTTGCAACAGCTAATTTTTTTGACTTATTTAATAAACTTAAAAATTAAACGGAAATTAGAAAACTAAGTAAAGAATTATAAAATATTAAAACAAAAGACTTGTAATGAAATATTCTAGTAATTATAAATTTATAATAGAGTTATAATTTATTTAATATAATTTCAAGCCATTAAGTAACTAAGTAAGAGTGTAAGACAATTCATAAAAAAAATTCAACGCGTAGAGCCTTTTATTTTATTAATAGAACTTTCAAATCTCACATACAAATATAATTCTTTTGAACAACACCTAATCTACGCAGCCACCTTCTAGGAAGGGTTCTGTTTGAACTAGACCTCTTAGTAGCCAATTACAAATTATCATACTAATATTTGTACGCTCGTATAGAACTTCGTTGTAACTTATCTATAATTTCTCTCGAACATTTTTCTGAAATTGGCAATGTTAATTGATGTTCCATGAGTTCCAGGCCGTAATCGCTGCTAGTGCTAAGTATCTCATTGTATTGTTCTTCTTCCCTAGTGGTTAATTTTTCAAAACCAAGATTTCTTCTTTCCGAATTAATCCAATCTCTGAATAATACGAAAATCTTTAGGTTGTCCTCCGCTAATGAATGTTTATGATCTCCGATTTGAAATCTTGCCGCGCTAAAAGCACTATCCGATGCTACTGATGATGCTTGAATAAAAAGGATATCTTAGGCCATTATTGAAAGTGTTTGAAAAGTCTTGCCACACTCCCTCCACCCTGTCAAAAGTTGTTCGTTGCCTTCTTCGTCTTTAATACTTTCCAACCCTTGATTAAGATAAGAATCAAGTTAAGAATCAATAGATGAATCAAAACCTGTTATATCATCCATATCTTCCCATAGAACTTCTACTCCAGACTTAGAAGTAGAAGGAGTAGTTTCACCACCTGTTGTTTTCATAGATTTATATTTATCAAACATTGATCTAACATAAGAGTATATGTTAGCTTGACAGTTTTCGAGAGATGGTTGTTCATTTCCTTGAATTGCTAAATTCTCATAAATTTTACGAACAAGTCCCTTTGTACCTCTTAATTTTAAAG